AGTAGAGCCAAGTTATCCTAGCGATCAAGATAAGAGAGCAATGTAAGGCCATTGAAAGTGATAAGAATGTGGCCTGTCACAATGCATAAAAATGTGAGTAATCCAAAGTGAGAAAGACAGAAGTTGAATTTACACACTGATCACAGGTACGTTAAAATCTAAGTGTGGCTGGGGGCGATGGCTCATGCCTGTAATCCTAGCATTCTCCCAGAGGCAGGATTGCTGAGGTGAGTCTCATTCCAGATGAGCTTGAGCAACAGTGAGACCCTGTCTCTACTAAAAAATAGAAAAATTAGCTGGGTGTTGTGGCCATCGCCCATAGTCCCAGTTATTTGAGAGGCTGAGGCAGGAGGATCGCTTGAGCCCAGGAGTTTGCAACCAAGGGATTGTAGTGAGCTATGATGATGCCACACTCTACCCAGGGCAAGAGAGCAAGATTGAAAACAACAACAAAATCTAAGTGAGCTGGAAGGTGATTCAGAAGGGTGCTAATTATTATAGTTTCAAGTTTCTTTGGTTTTTTGATACAGACTCTTACTCTGTGGCCCTGGGTAGAGTGCCCGAGAGTTGTAGCTCACAGCAACCTCCAATTTTGGCGCTCAAGAGATCCTCTTTTTTCAGCCTCCTTAGTAGCTGCAACTACAGGCATGCACCACAATGCCTGGCTTGTTGTCCTATTTTTAGTAGAGACAGGGTCTTGCTCTTGCTCAGGCTGATCTCAAATTCCTGAGCCCAAACAATTCACCCGCCTCGGCTTCCCAGAGTGCTAAGATTACAGGTGTGAGCCACCACTCCCAGCCCCTTTGATAAGTTTTGAAGCAGGGGAGGCTTAGAGGAAAGGAGACTAGAAAGTGATAAGAAAATGCCCCCTTCCTGGAGACCGTCACCCCGAGGGCATTTCAAGCCCTGGATTTTGACAAGAGCCCTCTGAGGTGTGGGGTGGAAATCTGAGCACTGGGATTATGGGGTGTGGGAGATATAACTACACCCCACTGAGAATAATTCCATGAGCTCCACTGCTGTTCAGGATTTCCTGAGCTCCAGGCCTGGCACTGGGATGCAGAAGCCTCAGTCTCTGAAGCTCTCTCTAGGAGCTTCTAGTTTACGGAGAAAAGTAACAGATCCCCAGGAAACAACTGGAAGGCAATCCCAGACAGTGTAAGATCCAGTAAGAGGAGGACACCAGCTGGGGTGAAGCAGTCAGGGGTAGAAGATGAACCTGAGCAGGAACCAGGTGGCCAGGTGTCCTGTGGCCTTTGTCCTTTGCAGAAGGTGGCCTGGGATGATTTCCAAGGTGTCCTCAGGCTCTGCCCATCCCTGGCTACATGAGGAGAGGCCTGGAAGGAGGCCAGAAATTGACATGGAGAAGGGAGAAAAGTGGGCTTTCCAGATCTAGGAGTGAGAGGGACTGGGGACAGGAGGGGACTTAGGATGCCAGGGACTCTGAGGAGACTGACTGAGCTGACAGAAAATCAGGTTGGATAGTCAGGGGCTGCAGACCTCCAGGGCCTGGCAGCCAAGCAGGGTTGTCCTTGCAGCTGGCCAGGGATGCTCCGAGGATGTGGTGAAACTGGGGCTTTGGAAAATTAGCCTGGCAGTCTCTAGATTCCCAGGGTCCTACCAGATAAAGAAAGGCTCCCTGAAGGCCCACACTGGCAAGCCTGGTAGACTTCACAAGACTTACAAGATCCCATGGACTCTGCTATATTCATAGGATTTAGCAAGATTCCAAGGGTCCTATAACTTTCTTTTGTCTGCTGTTCCAAATCTAGGGATCAGCACCCCAATGAAGGCATTCCCACTTTACCTTCCACCCCAGGGTCCAGTGTATCTCTGGAGACTTGCACAAAGGAATGGAAGCTGAGTTGGCCTAGAGGGACACACAGGCCAGGACCTTCCTCTCTCTGCCAGGCCTGGCAGCAGACTTCTAGTTCCTCTCTCCCCTTTCCCATCATAGGAGCGGCTCCAGGGCTCTGGCTGGGCAGTGGGTAGCCGTGGCCAGAGTGGAAAATCCCGCAATGGCTGGATGTTATCAGTGTTCAACCTATCTGGTCCTGGCTTTCTGCCTGGGGCCTGAGGACTTGACATATCTTCTTAGAACCCTGAATATAGGATACTAGGTAGTAGAGAAGGTGTTTGCATGGGAACTTTTTCCACTCATCCCAAAATGGAGAACTTCCCTGCTTGGGCCAGGGGAGCAAACACTGGGCCAGCTCTAGGTCTCTTTGGGCAATGGGAAGCATGTAGATGGGAAGTGGGCTTGGAGGAGTGGGACAGATGAGGTGGGGTGGGAGCTGGAGATGAGGGATAGAGCAACATTGTATGTGAGGCTTGGGGGTCAGACAAGGCTTGGAAGAGGGTAATGGGTGGACATTGCTGTTATCACCACCATCAGCATAGCCTCCTTACCAGTATTTTCATAATGATTATACTAGCTACTAAGCCCTACGTCAGCCAGGGTTTGAGGGTGCTGAGAATCAGGACTTGAGTGGGCCTGCAATCTAATCACCTAGAGAACAGCAGTTCTCAGCAATTTTGCTCCCCAGGGGACACGTGGCAATGCCTGGAGATATTTTGGTTTTAACAACGGGGGGACTACTGTTGGCATTGAGTCGGTAGAAGCCAGGGATGCTGCTAAACATTTTACAGTGCACAGGACAGGACCCGTAAGAAAGAATTATTTGTTCTAAAATGTCAATAGTGCTGAGGCTGAGAAACCCTGCTTACAGATTCCATGCCCCTCACTCTGGTTTATCTTTTTCTGGCCTTCGTCCCCAAATGCCCACACCATGCCTCTGGTTTCTGGACAAGGAGAAATCTTCAGTTAGACAGAGTGATCATGCCTATAATCCTAGCACTCTAGGAGGCCAAGGCAGGAGGATCGCTTGAGCTCAGGAGTTTGAGACCAGCCTGACCCCAACACTACTAAAAATAGAAAAATTAGGCTCGGTGCCTGTGGCTCAAGCAGCTAAGGTGCCAGACACATACACCTAAGGTGGTGGGTTTGAATCCAGCCCAGGCCCACCAAACAACAATGGTGGCTGCAACCAAAAAATAGCCAGGCGTTACGGCAGGCGCCTGTGGTTCCAGCTACCTGGGAGGCGGAGGCAGGAGACTTGCTTGAGCCCAGGAGTTGGAGGTTGCTGTGAGCTGTGATGCCACGGCACTCTACCCAGGGGCATAGCTTGAGGCTCTGTCTCAAAAGTAAAAAATAAAAATAAAAATAGAAAAATTAGCCAGGTGTGGTGGCAGCTGCCTATCGTCCCAGCAACTCAGGAAGCTGAGGCAGGAGGACTGGGGGAGCTCAGGAGTTTGAGGTTGCTATGAGCTAGGCTGATGCTAGGCTGATAGCACTCTAGCCTGGGCAATAGAGTGAGACTGTCTCAAAAAGCCCCAAAGAAGGGCGGCACCTGTAGCTCAGTGGGTAGGGTGCCGGCCACATACACTCAAGCTGGCAGGTTCAAGCCCAGCCCGGGCCTACTAAACAACAATGACAATTTCAATGAAAAAAAAAAAAAAAAAGCTAAGCACTGCGGCAGGTGCCTGTAGTCCCAGCTACTTGGGAGGCTGAGGCAAGAGAATCACTTAAGCTCAAGAGTCTGAAGTCGCTGTGAGCTATGATACCACTGCTCTCTACTGAGGGTGACACAGTGAGATTCTGTCTCAAAACAAACAAACAAACAACAACAACAAAAACAAACAACAACAACAATAAAAAAGAAGTAATCTTTGCCACTTCATCTTTTGGCAATTTTCTTCTCTGATCACTTGCACCTCCTGGTCCCTACTGCTTATATTAAAAAGTCAATAAGATGAAAAATCTGTTATTTCACTTCAAGAGGAAAAAAAACCCCACAGAAACAATTGAAATATGAAGCATAGGGTATACACTGGACTGGGGACATGCTTACCCTACGGGCAAGGAGGCAGAGACTCAGCTAGGTCCTCAGGGTATAAAAGAGGAACGCGCGCTCAGCCTTCACTCTGAGATTGCAGAACTTGGAGTGGCGTTTCCCCTGCAGCCGGGTAGGAGTCAGCATGATGAAGTGGATGGTGGTGGCCTTTGTCTGCCTCCAGCTCTTGGAGGCAGTAGTGATCAAGTAAGTTTGGAGCCTGGCTGCTGGTACAGGGAGGCTGGGTGGGAGCCTAAAACCCTGCAAGGAACAGCTCGGCTACAGAAGGTACAGCTCAGCCAGGGCATATTCTACCTGTCTCTGCTCTGGAATTCCTGCAGGAAGAGGGGACATTTCTGCTGGTGTTGGACAGGACTCTGAGGTGGGAGGAGACAGAGTGCCTGATTTCAGCAAATTTCTAGCCAAAAGGGAAAAAGTACCATCCCTTCACCCATTGATGAAAAAAAGATGGACCCAAAACAGAGGAATTAGGGGTGACTACTGTCCTAGCAGCCCCTGAAATTTAGATATAGTTACTTTTTATCAGTTTTGAGACAGTCTCATTCTTTCACCCTGGGTGGAGTGCCATGGCGGCATCACAGCTTACAGCAACCTCAAACTCCTGGGTTTAAGCGATCCTCTTGCCTCAGCCTCCTGAGTAGCTTGAACTACAGGCGCCCGCCATGATGCCCAGCTAGTTTTTCTATTTTTAGTAGAGACGGGATCTCACTCTTGCTCAGGCTGGTTTCCAACTCTTCAGCTCAAGCAATCCTCCTGCCTCAGCCTCCCAGAGAGAGAGAATTATAGGCGGGGGCTGCACAGGCAGCCTGCAAATAATTTCTTCCCACAGAAAGGAGCAATCCTTTTTTGGATAAGGGATAAGACAAACTTCTAAAAAATTTCTTAAGGCTAAAATTATCTAAGCAGAAACAGCAGTAAATGTAAGTCTCTACACCCTGAGGGACCAGGAGAAAACTCCCAGAGCTATAGGTGACAGGGCTCACAGGATGTCTGAAGGCTCCCTGCCTGCCACTCACCACAGCCTGCTAGTCCATCCTGGAAGAGTACTTCCTCAGGTGGCCAGCTGCTCCTCTCAGAAACTTCCAGTGCAAATTTGGTAGAGGTGGTTAGCAGGAAGCAACTATCAGTGTTCTTAGCTCAGCATGAAGGGGCTTAACAGGGGATCTCTGGAGAATGCAGGGTCCTGAGCAAATAGGGACTGAGAAGGGGAAAGCAGTGAAGGAAGTAGGAATTCTGGGGCCTGGAGTAAGGACTGGGTGGATCCCCAAAGACTCTTTGGCAATGGCAGCAAGCAGGCCTGGTAGGAAGAGAGCCAAGGAGGTGACTTTGCCCGTGGTGAAAGGGGCAGAGACCATGATTCATAAGTTATAAATTCCAGAGCTGATCTAGGCTCCAGACCACCCAGGCCAACTTCCCTGCTGGTCCTGGGGTCCCAAGAAAAGCAGTAATGATGCCGAGGCCATACAATTAGCAGAAGGGGCAGAACTAGGGTCCCGTTTCTCGAGTGCCAGCTAGTTCTATTCTCACCCCTTCATGCTCAGTCACATTCAGCTGGTGACAGGTATCTGATGGCCACCAAAGGGAAGAGACTCTGGGGTGAACTTTGCCATCTCTGAATCTTTCCTTTAAAAATGTACATATCAGCTCGGCGCCTATAGCTCAACCGGCTAAGGCGCCAGCCACGTACACCTAAGGCGATGGGTTCGAATCCCCAGCCCGGACCCGCCAAACAACAATGACGGCTGCAACCAAAAAATAGCCGGGCGTTGTGGCGGGCGCCTGTGGTCCCCGCTACTTGGGAGGTGGATGCAGGAGACTCGCTTGGGCCCAGGAGTTGGAGGTTGCTGTGAGCTGTAATGCCACGGTACTCTACCCAGGGGGACAGCTTGAGGCTCTGTCTCAAAAAGAAAAAAAGAAAAGTACATATCTTGGAAAGGCCTAATAATGCCTGAAGTCCCTCTCCCCTTCCTGAGAAGGACATAATGGGATATTTGAGAGTAGAGGGACAGAGTAGACCCTGGGGATAGTATGAAGGCATGCATGAGCGAAGTTAATGGTTCTCTGAATCTTGGAGCAAGTGCTGAGAAAAAATTTGAAAGAATGAGAAGAGCAGGAGAAGAAAGAGGCAGAAGGAGAAAG